AAGCTAGTAGTAACAAGTGCCACGCTAGTAGTAACAGGTGCCTTACTTTTGCATTCTGGCAGACTTGGAACGTGGAGCGTTCCTTCGACCTGACACCGTCAACAACACCAACAAGCGCTGGCCCAAGAAGCTTCGTAAACGACGGTTCAATGAACCAAGAACCAGTTCAAGTCTTCGGATGTTGCTATGAGGCAGACCACACCAAGAATGGTTCAATGATGTTCAATGACTCAATGGTGGTCATATTAATAGTTGATGCATGATGATGCTTATTGGTGCCCATACTTTCCTGACAGGTTACAAGAATTGCAGTTAACAATCCGAACAAGCAATTGGAAGATGCTGGAAGTACACCTGGAATACCTTACAGAAATAGTTGCGTGATTCAACTTTGGGATGCATCAGATAGTTGTTGTTTAACCTTGGGAAATATGTTGCATCATAACTGGAATCCTATGCATCACCAGCATCAGACACAGCGGCATCACTCATGCTTGTTTACATCGCCTAGAATTGAACATTATCCATACATTAAAGCCCATTCTTTGCCCATGCTTCATGAGCGAGCAAGCTTTCTTCAGCTCACCGTGCTATAAGTGCTGTCATTGGCTCTCCTTGGCTTCACTCTCTATCCAGGTTCACGCTTCCCTAATTTTGCAACCTTTGCTATCGCGTGGGAGTTCACCTTTTGGGCCCATTATCTCAGTTCCTGTCATCTCAGCTTGTTTGGCAGCACAAGCTAGTCTGAGATCATCTCCAATGGTTTCTCTACTTTTGTCATGTGATCTCACGCACCGCTTGTTGACATCATCTCAGCATACCTCAACTGTATGAGAAACAGCATATATAGTATCATCTCGCCTTTGACTCCATGAATCAGGCCTCAAACAGAGCAATGATGTTTTATGGATGTCTATTTTTTCTGTTTTCATACGCGTTCCCTTCAATGTGTTGCCTAGGTTGGAACTGTTCTGCTTTTCCAACGAGGCATGAACCAAAGTTCGCACCTGGATCAGTGGACGAGTTGAGAGTCTCAGCAGATAAGACAGACTGAGAGTGATTTTCGGAAACAACACCTTTGCCACCAAAGCAGCCATTTTGAGTCAGAGGAGAGATACACTTGAGTTTGTGGAAGCATAGCTGTGGGCTGTGGAGGACAAGGGGACACTTTGGTTAGCAGCCCGGCTGGACAACTTGGGCAAGGCAACGTCGCCAAACGCAAACAGGCTAAGTAAATTTGGCTGCAGAGAGATTCTTGGTCTTTGAAGAAGGACAGCTTAAGCCCTTGCAAGTGTTCCTGCCAAGAATGCTGCCCATAATGTCGATGGATACTTGACAGTCCTCTCGAGAGCGTTTTACCAGGGGGCCAGCGGTGCCTGTGTGCAGAATCTCAACCTGGCGCTGGGATTTCCAGAGGCAAAGCCGGAGCTGTGATGGCTTTGGGTATGTTTCTTGGTGTTTCATTCTTAGTCTCTTAGTGGGCAAAGTTTATCCAAGACTCCAAGACTCAATCAAGTTTGTGATTGGCGTTACGCGTAACAAATGGAAGAATGGCCAAATCCTCAGACTTGTTGATCTTGTTGAAAGAGCGAAGATGGCTTCGCTATCAAGCTGCCTGGTGTCCAGGTTGGAAAGGTGGATTTACCTGATTGACGGGACATGACGGTTGGGATGGACTGAATAGCATTAAAATAGAAATGCAGAAGATATTCATGTCATGACATGTATTACGATAGCTTGGGTTGCCAATTGCCAAGAAAGCATCATCGATATTTGCGGACAACTCATTGGTCCGTACGACAGAGCACTCGTGCAGGCGACTGGACTATGATATGGCGCAAGTCAAAGAAACATCGTATTTAAATGCATTAAAGATAGTATTTAAGATATTAAAGGCCCTTACATGCCCTTACAATTATGAACATGTGCACACAAAAGCCATATGCAAGCATGTGTTGCTTATAAGCTACAACGTGTTACTGATCCGTGTAGATGTTACTGCACAAATGAAAAGAAGATGCTTCATATATGCAGGTCTTCAGCGCAGCTTCCATACAAGGAGTTATTGTATCTTTAATCCAGACATCTACTTTTTTGCACCAGATGCAAATGAAAGACATCGGTTGATAGAATTACAAGAATTACAGAGTTGACGGATGTGTTCCTTACTTTCCGCAGCTCATTTAAGCACGTAATGCAACACACATGTGCAGCGCTGGTTTATGGTCTACAGTTCAAAAACCGTCTTGAATGTCCAAAAAGCTGCTTGTCAAGTCCTTCAATCTAGTCCAGCCTCGCCTCATGTCGACATCACCCTCGACAAAGCAGAAACTGGTTCCAGTATCAGATTTCCGAGCCTTGATTCCTATCCGAGAGATCCACCAGGAGAACTATTTGGACGACTCCAATGACGAAATCTATGTAGATATTTCAAACAAGTTCATTCACCACGCTGGAATCTACAAGAAAGAGCCTCATCTCGCTCACGTTTATACCCACCGAGAACAAGTGAAAGAAAGGTACAAGTCCAAAAGAGGGCACATATTTTGGTACACTGCAGAACTGAAGTTTGAAATCAGATGGAATCAAACGGCTGCCAGGTGGGAACACAGAGTGGAGCGACACCTCATCGAAGAAGACACACATCAAATCCCAGAGCAATGGGGAGTCATTGAGCAGTCCTTGTATTCAGTGAATGAGTCTGGACATGAAGGAAACCCTGTTGAAGGTGAATGGCAAAGCCTTATCAACGAAGAAGAACATCAGGAGTGGTGAACATGCCACGTTCTTTGCCATACGTGTGATTCTTTCGGAAGGATCATGGCATCTGGTGATTCGCAGAGTGCTGTATACGAATCTGTTCTAGGACTCTAGGAGGTGAGCTAGCTTTGCAATGTGTTCACACGTTTTCTTCTTGAACCATTTGTGCTGGCTGCTATCACCTTGGATCAGGATACAACTAGGAAGAGGGGATCATGTCCTGGCATTTATGCAACGGCCTGGTCTCACACCGGGTTTTGGAAAGCTTTGGTGGCAGCTGCTAAGAGAGCTCGAGGAGAAGTCACCTATGAAGAAGTGACATATTCAGGCCTCAAGGGTCTTGCACCAATTTCCTGGGAGCAGGGCCGTATTGTGTTCCACTGCGGCTAAATCTTCGTGGATGTTGCTATTACAATTCGTTGCTTTTGTCAACAGGTTTGACTTGTCGTGCATTGTCATTTTTCACCGGCAAATATTACTTTGCTGCTTTGCTAAACAAACGAACATCTCAAGACTAGATGTCAGTGTTTGGTGGCCGCTACGAGCGCGGGACACTTTTCGAGTTTGCACCACTTTTTCGTTGAATGCGGATCCACTGTTCAACGTTCGTTCGCGTCCACGAAATCTTGACCTCAGAATCGCGGCAGTTGGCTTCACCTTGCGAGGCCCGACATGCCATATTATCTTCATTGTTGACAGCAGCAAATCGATGGCAAAGAAAGACTTGAAGTTGGATGGTCAAAGTATGCGCCGCATCGATGGGGCCTTTCTAATGATGAAGGAGTTCGCGCAGAATGACCCAGGACAAGCTCCTGACATAGACTAGCACAAGTAAGTGGTGCAAGCAAGGATTATGGTTGCTAGATTGAGTTATATATATATATATCATAGGGAAGAACATGGAATAACTATTGAGTAAGTTTTTCTAGTGCAACCACAGATTGTTTACCCTATTTTACTCTACTGTGTAGCGTGTGTAACCCCGATGTCAACGCGCATTGCAGATTGTAGATGAGGGCTCCTCTCTTTGAGTCAAATGCCATGCCTATTTTTCAGAATCGCACTCTGCCCGCAGACACGAGTGTTTGAGTTCTACCAAAATTCACTTGCCTGACAGGACACGGATCTGATACATACACCGCAGTTCTAGTATCAGAGATGGGATGCCAGACAATTTGCAAGCAATCCCCGGCAGCAATTCTGGCAGATTGCCTGGAATCAGTGGATGTTGAACCCAAGCACGGAGCTTCCTATCGGCGGGTCATCGATAGCCTGCGCACGCTGTCCGATGTACGAGAGCGCACACGCGTCATCTTCTTATCCGACGCACGTCCAGGAGATGCCGGTCCCTATTTGAAGTACTATTGTGAGTACCTCTCATGGCTGGGCGCAAACTCACAAGTTCTTCCTTTAGACACATTGCAAGTGTACACCATCGGCATGCAAGGAACCTCAGATTTTGCAATTCTTCAGCAAATGGCCAATTTGGGAAATGGCATGCATTTGCCATGCCAGTCATCAATTGCGTCTTTGCGTACAGCTTTCGCGACTGTCTCCCGCACCATAACACAGAGACGCAAGGCATGGTCCTTGTGCAAAGTCAAAGCTCAACCCCAAGGCAAAAGATATTGTTCAGGGGGCAGGTACAAACAGAAAAATAGAGAGACATACGCACGGCTTCCGTTGAACTTGTTATTCAGCAATTAGTTGAAGCATGTTGAAGCTGAGAAGGATTCAGCGGTGAATGAACACAAGCGTGGCAAGGCCGTGGGGAGTGGTCAATCATTTAACGACTTTGCCAAGCCCACTCGCAACAATCGCAAGGAGCTCGCAATATTCTGAAATTGTCTGAATTGAAATGCTGAAAACCTGCGTGTGTCTGGCGTTAACCCTTGTTGCTGTTTTCATTTTTGTTTGGGCGTTGAAGGGTTCCCTACAAGGAGCGAAGTCAATTCTATGAGCTACCTGGATTGATTACCTTCGGCCATAAGAATTGCAAGCTCCTTCGTGGCAAGAGCACAGAGTTTGTGTTTGACGGCTCGGAATTTCTGGAGAAGGTCCAAGAACATGTCGAGGTATCAGTCCACAATCTTCCTTTTGATCGTGGAGCGATGAGGCAAGTGTACATGATGCGAGCTGAGGGTCATGATGAGTTAGTCGGCGTTTGTAAAATGGGCAGGTGGACTGATGAGACATATGGCATCAAGGAAGCAAGGCGCGATGTCAAGAGTCTTGCGCTAGCTTCTTTCTTGGCGCTGGAGTTTTGCACCTTTTGTGACTTGCAGCCTGAGAAGTTTCGCTTCGTCAGAAGCTCAATTTATCAATGTCACTCTGAGGACTCTTGGGGGTTGACTGCAGACCATGTTTTTGTGGGTGAAGAGCATTTGAACACGCGCTTCATCAAGTTCAGCAGCAACGATGGCTTTGTAAACTACATAGACCACTCACTCGAGGCACAAGCATTTGTGCATTTTACGTATGAAGCTTGTGGTGAGGAAATGATGGTCTCTGATATACAAGGAGTTCGAGTTGATAATGGTATATTGCTCACCGACCCGCAAATCCTTTCTTCCTGGCATGGATTTGGGCCTGGAGATCTTGGTGCAGGAGGGATGAGCAGCTGCATGGAAAGTCATGAATGCAATTATTTGTGCCAACGCTTCACAAAGAAATTCAAGGCACAAAGACAATCTGAGCGAATGCCTGGATCATGGACCACTTTGGTTGATCCATGGAATTTGGCCGAAGGGGCCGAAACATATTCCTAACTATTGAAAGAAGAATGTCGTAAGAAACCGAAGAATCCGATATTGATATGAAAATATGGATATACATATTACATTTACAATATTAAGAATAAAATAAATATATTATATTAAATAAATAATATATATATATAAATATTATTCTTATATTTAATCTATATTATTATTATATTGTAAATATTTATTGTTTAACTATTATAATGTTATATAAAAAATATATTTATATAATATATTAATAATATACTTATATATATTTAATAATAATATTATGTAGATATATTATTTATATATTATAATAAATAATTAATATATATTTAAATATATATATAATAAAATATATTTAGGAAAAATTATATTATTTGCAATTTGAAATTTGATTCGTAATATTATAAAATTTAAATGGATTGAAGAGGAAATAATATATATATAATAAATATGATGATATATATAGAATTATTATTTATGATGGATTATTAAAAATCTATATAATTTAAAAACAATATACATATTATATAAATTATTTATTAATATATGCAAAGCATATTATTTTAGGGGGGTTAATATTAGTCGTGATTTACCGATTTTCTTTTTTGTCGTCCTGGCAGATAGCGAGCAATGACATAGGCGTAAAGGGTTCGCTGGTGAAATGCGGGATTATATAGTGTTTTTTTTTGGATGATGGGGTCGTGACAACATAAATGATATAAAATATGCCCCAAGATGACCTAAATTTGGCAAATATAGGTCCAAGATGGAGCTAAAAAAATGTTTAATATGGATTCAAGATTGAGCGATCTAGATGATATAATATAGATCAATATGCGGTCAATATCGTCCTAAGACCGCCTACATAACCCAAAGATGGGTTCAACTTGGCCCCACAACCACGACTAGAGCCATCGCAACAGCAAGAACCACAACACCGACAACAACCGCAACACCAACGACGACAACAACAACAA